TGGGGGCCCGGGCCGCGCCCGGCCTGGCGCTGCTGCTCGTCTGCCCGGTGCTGGGCTCCGCGTTCGCCCTGGTAAGTCCCTGCCGGGCTGCGGGCTCGCACGGGGACCCCTGGAGGAGGAGGGCTGTTCGGGGTGCAGAGCCTTGGGTTCCCCGAGTCCTTTGAACTTTGCATGGGGGTCCCCTCTGACCCGGGTCCTCGGTGCCTACTGCCTCTGGGGTGTCTGAATTCTGGGTTCCAAACGCCTCCTTAACGTCTCCCTGTTTCTGAAGGCTGGGTTTGGGGTCCCAGGTCTGGAAGTCTGTGGTTGGGGACCCCCTGTCTTCCTCTGGTGTGAGCACCACCGCTCTGGTTGGTCTCCCACAGAGATGACAGTGTGACCAGCCAGAGATGGGCTTTGGCCCTGAGGTGGCGTCCACAGGCTTCGCTCTGGGGCCTCTGCTTTCTGCACGTTTTGTGTGCAATCCAGGACAGGGCTGTAGGCTGAGGTCAGAGTCACCCAGGCAGGGGGCAGGATTTAGGGGACTCTGCAGCCCTCAGGGTCCCCTGTGGGCGCGCGCGCGTGTACACGCGCACACACACACACACACACACACAGCTTTACTCAGAGTGGAAGCTCTTTTCCCTGGAGAGGCACGTATGGTTGGTGTGGAGGGAGAACGGAGTCCCTGAGCTCACAGAACATTCCTACAGGAGAAACGCTCAGGGAAGATGAGGGACCCCATCGGTACCCTCCTGAGAGCAAAGGCCAGAGGGGACCAGTGGGACCAGAAGAGAAAGAATGGGAGATGAGGAGGGAGGGAAGGAGGGAGGGAGGGAGAGAGAGAGAGAGAGAGAGAGAGAGAAAAGGGGTGCAGACCAGAGCTTACCAGAGCAGGAGGCGTAGACAGACCAATAATAGGGGAGAAGAATAGGGGGACACTGGAGGGGTCAGAGCTGGAGACACGGAGGAGCGGTGCCCTCGTCTGGGTGGGTCTGCGGGCCTTTTCTAGAAAGTCCGTCCGATCCCAGCCCAGCCCGTCCGGGCGGCCCTGGCTGAGGAGGCGTCTGCCTGTGTCTGCCCTCAAGGCCCCCGCTGCCTCCCCGGCCCACCTCCCAGGTGAGAGCATTTGCCTTCTAGAAAGACAGGCAGGCAGGCGGCCTCCTCCTCCGGACCAGCTCCTACCCAGGCAGAGCCCCGGAGAAGGAAGGCCGTAGCTCTGGGATTCTCCCAGCTCTGCCCCGTGCCTGCGTGACCCTGGGCTACCCTTCACACCTCATTTTCCCATCTGTGCAAAGACAGCACGACAGAAACAAAGTGTAGACGGGAATGGAGGTTCAGAGGTGAACCCAGGTGAATGCCAGAGCCCAGAGCCATTTCCCATCCTTCCCTTTCCCAGGCTCTCAGCTCCCTGGGCAGAGCCACCGGCACAGTCGTGTGCACATACGTGTGCATTTGATTTGGGAGGGATAGGGCTTGGGTGTCTTGCAAGTATGCCTGTGTCGGAGCAGGATCTGTGGGACTCTGGGCATGGCCGTTCTCTGGGTCTGTGTGTGAGTGTCTGAGCCGTGTGTGCACTCACGCCTGTGGGAAGCTGTGGGTCTGCACACGCCTTGCTGGAGCAGAGTTGTGCTTGCACACGTGTGTGTCTGTGGACACGGGGCCCCAGGTCTGTCAGTTGCGTGTTCCTGTTTCCTAAGTGCTCTACAGTGCTACTTGCCAGACACAGTCTGAGCGCCTGACACTGTTAACTGGTTTATCTTTCCCACAACCTCTTGTAAAGGCTCTGCTGTTGTCCCGTTGGTAACGGCCATTATGGCCATTACTGGTTGCATGCCAACCACGTGCCAGCGCTGTGCCCGTAGGGGAGAGGATAACGGTCCCCCTGGCTCTCCATGGAGGCACTCGCAGAGCATTTGCCTGGCTTAGCTCTGGCCCGAGGCTGAGGTAGGACCGGGGAGGTGTTGGGGCTGGATCTGCTCCGGGACCGTGTTGGGGCGTCTGTGGCTGGACCTTTCCTGGCTTCAGGGCTAGAGGATACGGTTGGGGGGGTCTCTCACACCCTGTGGTCCTGGTCTCAGTGGGAGCCAGCAAGAGGCTGCCAGGCTGCCAGCTCCCACTCCTGAACCAGGCACGGCTTCTCCCACCAAGATCTTCCCACCAAGATCTTCCCTGGTACCCACCATGCCCACCTGCCTGAGCTGGTGCCCAACCTGTGTGCTGCCTGCCCAGGCAGCCCCAGGACCCAGCTCACATCCCCAGGGACCTCACGGTTGGGGGACTAGAAGCATCCCACTGGGAGCAAATTTGCCTGTGGTCAGACTCAGCCAGTCCATCTTGTGTGTACAGGGAAGAGGGACCGGGAGGCTGGGGTCAGGTGGAGTGACGTGTGCAGGGAGGGATGGGCCCACAGATCGTGAATAGGGGGCAGAGGGGTGGTCTTATCCTTGGGGTGCTCCATCCTAAGGACAAGTGAAGGAGAACCTGCAGGAGGGAGGCGGAAGGTCATTGTAGGGGACTGGCCTTACGTGTGGAGACGTGGCCTCAGAGGCAGACTCCAGAAGGACTGGGGGGGGCAAGGATAGGGGGGCCCCTCCCAGCCTGCTCCAGGGGCAGCTCGGCCACAGGGCTAACTTCCAGGCACAAGAAGGAAATAAGCTCCCCAGATTCTGAGCTAGAAGCCGACTCGATCGTTGTCTCGATCGTGATCGTTTTCTCACGCCGTCCACTCACCCACCATTTTATGCGAAAGGGCCTGAGGTGCCCACAGGGAGTCTGCACGGAGGTGGGTTTGAGCCCAGGTCCTCGGCTCTGCCCTCAGCTGCTTCCTCCAAGGCAGGGGGTGGGCCTGGGCTGGCAGGGAGCCCGTGCCCACTCGGCGTTTCTTGTGCTTCCTTTTTCTAAAAAATAAAATATTGTTTTACTTTTTTAAATTTTTATTTCTAATTTTATAACCGACCCTTGCAAATGTCCTTCCTTGTAAAAGAGTCAAATACTACAGATTGGACAAACATCACTGATTACTCCGAGCCCCACCCCCACTTTTAGAGAAAATGGTGTTTATCCGTGGGGGGAGGGGGAGGTGGACTCCCGACCTTTCTCTGTGCGTTTCCAAAGGCACTTGAGTGTCCCTATCCAGTCGGTAGGTATTGTGTTCTGTTGTTTTCTGCTTGTTTTTAAATAAATGTTACCGGGTGGCGGGTAGGGTTTCTGACACAAGCCTTTTTCCACTTAAAGATGCGCCCTGGAAACCTCCGTGTCAGTGAATGTAAATCTATCTTGTTTTAATGCTGCGTCATGTTCCAGAGTGTGAATCCATGCGCCGTTCCCAGGAATGCACATCCGACCATTTCTGCATAGTGTGCGCGCGTGTGCGTGTGTGTGTGCGTGTACTGGTGTGCGTGTGTGCGTGTGTGTGTGTGATCCTGACTGTGGCAGAGAAGCTCCTTGAGATGCCGGCTCTGTCCCCATGTGACCGTCCCCGGGGGATGTTTCTAGATTCTGTCATTGCTGGGTCTGTGGACATGCACACTTTCAATTTTCACAGACGAGGCCAAACTGCCCTCTACAGCCGCCGCCCCAGGAGGGAGCAGGCGGGTCTCTCCAACACCCACTCGTAAGACTGAGGATTCTCTCCCTCGCCTTTGCCGTTCTGAGAGGTGAAAAGTGATCTCGTGTCATTTTAATTTGTCGGCTGCTAGTGAGCATTTGGACTTGCCGTTGGTTTACGGTCCATCTTCTAGAGCCTGCTCAGAGCCATGACCCATCTTTCTCCTGGGTTGTTTGCCTTTTACGTATTGATTTGTTGAAGCTTTTTATATCACCTGCCCTTTAAACACCCGGCCCCGCCCCCACCCCAGCTCTGGGCACTGCCTGTGGACAGAGCAGGAGGAGCGGGCGAGCCCTCGGAGCTTGGCTTTTCTTCGGAATGTTTTAATGAGGCATGGAGCAGCCTCCCCCGGATTCCTGTCGTGGGCCTTCTGGGGACACTCCCTGGTCCAGCCACCACATCAGGAAGGCCAGAGAGAGGGAGTCCCCAGGAAAAAGAAAGCTCGGTGGCGGGGAGGTGCAGGCCCCTTAGATTGTCGGCAGGATACTGTAGAGTGCGACTGGGAGCGGGTGCAAACCTCAGCCCTGAGGAGCCCCCACTCTGGGGCCAGCCTTGTGCGGAGGGGGGACCTGGTAGGACCTACTCTGCCGACCAGGCAGCTCTGGCTGGTCCTCCAGCCCAGGCGGAGGCCACTGGTGAAGACCCACCCTGTCCTCGCCACCGATTGAGTCCACCCTCCCGGGCTCCGTCCCACTGTGGCCCGAAGACGTCCATGCTGGACGGGAGGAGAGGCAGCACCACAGTGCCTCCCCTACCCCCTCTGAGCCACGAACACAGGCGGCTTGTTCAGGAGGGCCTGGTGGGAGGGGGCAGTCCACACGCAGGAGTGTCCTGCAGGGAGCCCGTCCCGGCCGGCTCGGGCCGGACAGACTGAGGGCAGCAAGGGGTGGGAGAGCCCCAGCCAGCAGGTACGAGAGATGGAGGGGCCAGCGCAGGTCCCAGGAGTGCAACCTGGAGAAGAGGTGCAGGAGTCCACCAAGGTTTCTCCTTCTGGTTTGCCTGGAGGCACAGGTGTCCTCGGCAGTTAGAGCTGAGCACACACCCACCACCATCGCATCTGCTCGCGTGTGCGCCTACCTCCCCCCCTGAACTCTGTGGAGGCTGCCTCAGGCGCTCTGCAAAGGGGCGCTTTCTCCGCGCAGGGGGACTGAGGAGAGCCGGTGCTGAGAGAGGACCAGGTGGCTGGGCCTCCAGGGCTGCAGCTCGATCCGAGCAGACCTCAGCTCCAGTCCCGGCCTCTGCTTGTTAGCGGGACACTCAGCCTCCGCGTCCCCCTTTGTAAGACAGGATGTGGTGGAAGGTGAAGGACATTGGCTAACGTCCAGGGGCCATGGCTGGTGCCAGCAGGGAGGGGGCACCTGGGGGGCGGGGGAGACCGGCCAGGTCCAGGGACGACCACCAGGGTCTGCTGCCTGCAGAGGGGAGCACGAAGCCAGCAGCCACCTTCCCCGGGGACCAAGCTGGACCCAGGGGAGGGACGGAGGGATGGATGCGACGCCCCAGAGGGCACCCCGAGGCTAACACCTTCCCCAGAGGCAGAGGTGTCAGCCGCGAAGAAGGATCCTTGTGTTTCCTCCATAGTTTTCCCGGAGGAGGCGGCCTGTCTGGGACCACAGGCAGCAAATGTGTAGAATTTGGCAGCTGGGAGAGGCCCTGAGAGGAGTGGCTCTCATTTGGTCAGTGGCTGGAGCTGGCTCTCCACCACCACAGCCACCATCACACCTCCATCCGTCCCCATCCTTGTCACTGCCCCCCCACGGCCCCACCGCCACCCCACGGCCCCCACTGCCGCCCCAGCCCTGCCACCGTCCGCGTGGGGTGGCTTGGGAATGGGTTCGGGAGCTGCTGGCTCCCAGTGGGAGGGTAGTAGCTGGCTTTCTCTTCCTCTGGGCTCCTGGACCCAGGAAATGAGAAACACATCCGGGCCTCCTGACCACACTGCTGTCTGCCGGACAGGGTGGCAGCTCCTCTGTTTGTAAATAACATACAGGCTCCCCGCCCGGAGCCCTGCACACCCCAGCCCAGTGCTCCCAGGCTGCCTCTCCCTCTCCCCCAGCTCAGGGCTAAGGTCAGGGCATCACCCGCCCCCCATGTTCACAGCTGCACATCGCGCACAGGAAGGCTCTGTGTTGGGTGGATCGTGGGAGCGTGTGCTACGGGGAAGTGGAAGCCCAGCCCTCCAGGTTAGGTCAGGGGAAGACAGCCCTAAGCTGACACCAGGGTGGGGGGTCCCCTCCGTGGTGGGTATGGACTGACTGACCCCCGAATATGACCCAACCCTGTGTCCTCAGTCTTTGTCCCGGAAAGCCAAGACCCACAGGCTCCCTGGACCCAAAATGATGCGGGTCTGAGTCCTCCGCCCCCAGCTCAGCGGGTAGAGGGCTGGTGGGTGAGGGTGGAGCAGCAGCCGGAGGCAGGCCAGGAGGAGAACCCGCTGTCGGCGTTTCTCATCACCCCCAGCGGTAGGACTCCTCAGAGCAGTGACCTTGAATCTTAGTGTGAGTCCAGGGTGGACCCAGGTATGCAAGGAGTTAGGGGAGGTCCTTGCACCCCACAAACCTGTGAGACATGCCTCCTTCCCCATTCTTGGAGCCCCCTCCCAGCGCCCCCACTGTGGCTCCTGCACTCAGAGACCTCCCTCTGCCAGGCTGGGCCCCGGCTGGGGGCAGCCATGGCACCGGCAGCCGGGGGCCCGTAGCCATGAGGTGGTGCTATAGCTGCTGACCGTAAGGCAGTGTAGCCAGCGTTCCCCGGGGCCAGCCCTGCCCGGGCCCTGTGGCCCTTCACGCCACGCGCAGGTCCCCCAGTAACGAGCTGACGAGCTGCACAGGCACTTAGCTCTGTGTGTCCGTCAGCCTGTGGGGATGCTGGCACGTTGGGCTTCGTTCCCCTAAACTTCAAAGCCTCGGGGCCGATCGGAGACGTCCAGTGAGGACTTGCTGTACCTCATTCACCCCTCACACAGCTCTCACCCAGGATGAAGCCACGTTCCCAGAGACTCGCAGCCTGTGGTGGAGGCAGGATTCAAGCCCCGAGTCGGTGGCAGAGCCTCCTGGTGCAGAGAGGGTGCTGGGGGGGGGGGGGGGGGGG